GACTCAGGGCAGGCCTCCAACGTCTTGAACAAATCAAAGGGCATGTTTTTCGTCGTTTGCGGCGTCCAGGGCCTCAAAATCGTCAGAAAAGATCCCGGACGAGAAACCGGTCCCTGGCAAGCGTGGTCCAGAGCTCTGGGGACCCAGCGTCGACAAATCAAGACATCGGAAGCCACGGGGGGAAGACAGTAAGCAACGGACAGCCCAGGCCACCCCACTGGCCGCTGTAGAGCTTCGGAAAATACGCCTGTCCCCAACAGTGGCAGACAAGAGTGAGGGGCCGCCTGGGCCGGGTGTGCACATCGGCGTTCTCTGGACCCATGCAGAGCGGCCCGCTGCGAGCGCCATGTGTTTTTGTTGTTGGTTGTTTTCTTTCTTTTTGCGCGGGCCTTTGGCTATTTGAGCGCGCTGGCGCCCGCCCTCGCTGCTGACGAAACGTCTTTCTTTCTGTTGGAAGCTATGTGGGTGCGTCGTCCCGCCGCAGGCGCCGCTTTGATTGAAGCAATTTTGCGGGTGCGTCGCGGCGCAGGTGGGTCGCGCGAGGGTCATGGCTGAGTGGCGGCGCGGGTGTGTCGAGGCGCGGGTCGGGAGGCGACAACGGCCACGTTCGGCGAGCTGGCTAGGCTGGCTAGGGCAAGGCGTGTCGATCCTTCTTTGGCTTTTGCCCCCCCACCCCCCCCCCTTCTCTCTCTCACTCTCCCTATCTCTCTCTCTCTCTATATATATATATATCCCTCTCTCCTTCTATCTCCCCTCTCTCCCTCTATCTCACCCTCTCTATATACAGTCCTCCAGTCTCGGCTCGAGAGCCTTGCTCGGAGCGAGCCTAAACGCCAAGCGCTCCGCATCCTTTCTTGCCTCGTTTCAGAGGTTCCCCCCCCCCCCCCCCTCCCGGAGCCCAGGGGTGGGAGCTTGGGTTTTTCTGGTGGGTGGTTTCCGGGGGCCTACATTTTGAGACAACCTTATTTCTGAACAAAAGAACCCTCCCCGACGAGCAACGGCCACAACATCACGCAAAAAAAAACAAAGCGGACAGTTTTTCGGCGGGTGGGGGGGTGGGGGATCCTGGGGGCCCAGTGTTGGCGGAGGACAAATTGGAAACGATGTAGCATTTTGATTTTGTGTGTCTTGGGCTTCCCCACCGAAAACTGTGGGGGGTGGCGGCGGGACCCTGGACAAAAAGAAACAATCAGAAACAAAGGAAAAGCAACTGATTGTTTACTTCCTGGAAAAATGCATTCGGGGGGGCGGGGGACGGAGGTGGCCGGGAAACCAACAGAAAACTATGGAAACAAGCTGGAAAAACGGATGGGCTTTTGTTTCGGGTGCTTCCACCCCCAGAGGCTGGGGTGGCCGGACAACTCGCGGAAATCACCAGGAAAAAAAAAGCGGGGAGCGACATAGAAAAACCCGAACGTGTGGGGGTTGGGGGCGTAAGAAGAGGGGGAGGGGGTCCTCCCGGAGCCTTGGGGGAGAGGGGGCGCCGATTCCGGAGAGAAAACACAGGCGAAACCGAACAGCCCCTCTTAGAAGAAGTGAGAAGCATCCACAAAGCCCGAGGGTGGGGGTCCCTGCAGGAGGCGCGGGGAGCTGCCGCGCCGCACTGGGCCGCCCGACGGGATCCCCCATCGGGCCCAGGGCGCTGCCCCGACCGGCCCCGCCGGCGGAGCTGCAGCACCTGGGGCCCTGAGCTCCGCGGGCGGGGTGGCCCCCACTTGACGAGCCCCGGCGTCGCCCAGGCCGGTGCCGGCTGGAAGAAAGATCCTCGCCAGACTACGGGACCACCATGCAGCGCCGCCGCCGCTGCTCGTCAGCAAACCAGG